ACCAAAAATCACAGAAACTTGAAATTTTCAGTGGACATCAAGAAAGGATAGACGAGCAGCTATACGAAAAATCAGCCTTCTAGCTCTAAAAATGTTGAGTGCAGAGCAGAAAGACTGCCTGGGGGGGGGTGGCAACCACCCCCCCCCCCCCATGTGCGGGCGAGGGTTAATTAAAAGTACTCATCTCATTGAAAACATCCCTAATGTATTGTGCAAGCTTTTGTGTGCAGCACTAACTCGCAATCACTTGTGTTACACGCATATGCCACCTGTGTTCATTTACCGTGGATTTGCTTTGTCTACATCAAATTGTCCACAGAGAAAATCGTGCTAAACTTCTGACATTGAGTTTGGGGTAAGACGGGCAAGTATGGATCCAATGGGTCTGTAATGGTGAAAATATTTTTGTTGCTGTAGGAAAAAAGAAGCATTTCTGTTAAAAATATGTTCAACTGCGATACTCACAGACATGTTTGATGTTATTCTTTCGGTACCGTTTATTCTCGAATAATGAATGTGAAAGACGGCTTTACAAGGCTTCTGAACTGTGTAGTGTGTAGGGCCTATGTACAAACATACGCATTCTGCACGAATACCTACCTACCAATCGTATCCTGCCTTTTCCGAAGCACTTGAGACGAACGAGCGACTGTAGGGTAAGGTGCCTATATTTAACATACCTAATGGTGATGTTACGAAAATGGCCTGACCTCCTATGACCTTAACCCTCGCCGGCACAGGGGGGGTTGATGCAACCAACCTAAGGTTTTTCGCGAATAACTCGCGTAAAAAGCGGCCGATCGCGACGAAACTTTCAGTACCCTCGCATTGATCAATTTTACACCTACCCTGAAAATTTCATGACCCTGACCCAAAAGACCTTTGGCCTGTGACCTACTTTCAGAGACCATGTTTGGCCGGAATCGCGATTCGGCGTACGTCGGCTCGCATTAGCCGCGCGTTTGCAAGCTTTTCGTGGTTTCAAACGTTCAAACATGTGATTTGATGTTGCTCCCATGCATTAGGGTGGATGTCAAGGTCATCTGAAGGTCAGGTCATGTCATTGACCTTTGGTGACCTCGGTTCACTTTTTCGAGTTTTACATGTTTCTAGGCTAGTTTTTTGGAGCTGATTTCGAATTTAGCAACCATTTGAACATTTACGAAGTAGTTTTGGTGCCTTCGTTACATGTTACGAAGCTGTCAGAGGTGGTTGAAACGCATTACGAATAGGTAGGTACCTACCCGTCACGACCCTTACCGGTGGACCTGACCTGACCCGACCCGACCTGGTCTAAATGCTTAAAGACATCATCTCTGATCAAAAATAACACGATATTCGTGATCAGCACCCCGGAAAACCCCATTGCAGCCACACTTTACGACTTTCTAACAGGTCCCGATTTTCCCGATTTTCGGGTCATTGACCTGACCTCGAAGGTTAGGGGAGAGTGGGGTGGGTTGTATCAGTTTTTACTCCGAGACCCATAACCTCGTATCTATCCGTGATAAACTCATTATTTCCATACTATCTCCTTCCTTGATTCTTCTGCTTTTTTGTGCAAAGTAACTTTTCCGCTACCTCTACCAGTTTTTCTTCTACGGTCTGCCGAATAGAACAATGTTTTTGATACAACTTGCCCCATGGCTTGGGTGAGTTGTATCACATGGTGGGGTAATTTGTATCACTATTTCACGTTTCAGGGAGTGCGCTTGCTACTGGTTTTGAACATAACAACAACATTAAATGGGGTTAATACCTATGCTCAAAGGCTTCACTTTTATTAGACCTTAAACTTAGGTCAATGCAATCCGAACGAAACATCAACAGACTAGACGCAAAAGTGGCCCGTTAAGAGCAAAGAAGCCAACACATTGTGCCGAAATGGAACGAGTATTGACTAGCTACCTACAAACGCGAGCCAGGGCTTAGCTTTCGCGATCAAAAGCAGCATACCCATACATACATACATACATGCATGTTACAACATACCCCACCCGGCTCTGATACAACATGTACCTCGCCGCCATCTTGGAAAAAACATCCTCGTGCTCAAAAACAGCGGACAGCTGGAGAAATCCATTTTCACTCACGCAGCCTTAGACAAGGGCGGCGCCACCGTGGGGGCAGTGGGGGCAGACTGCCCCCACTGGCAGGAGGCCGTGGGGGCAAGACTATGTTTTTGCCCCCACAAAATTTGGCTGATGTTGAAAAGGGAACAGAAGACCGGTGCAACATTCATGATAGGCGGTTAATAACATAATAGTACGCCTGTTTTTGACCGTCCCCGTATCAAGTGCATCAGCAAAACGTTCGTTCTCGGACCGTCTGTCGCATATCTCCTACTCCCACTCATTCTTCTACTCTTTTTCATTTGCACCAGAAGGCTGCCCTCGAGCTTGACCTCGAGGAGGTTGAGAGGCAGCTTGTCAAAAGTTGGCCAGAGAAGAGATCTTTTGGGAAACCTTAGACTGAGACTGAGCTCAGGAAGGTATGACAAAATGTGATGGGTATGTATATCCGGGTTATCTGGAAATGTGTGTGGGTCGCCCTAATGGAGCTTATTCTGGTATCAATCGTGTGTGAGAGAATCGCACATATACATACGTACTACGGGAAAAAAGAGAACTAGGTACCTACTAACTATTGTTTGGAGGAATACACCATTTTACATCTCAACGAACAACATAACGTTTTCACAGGTTTGTGTCTCGCAATCTAGTTTTATAGTTTTATTTGCTCGCGACCTTTTAACCCGGCCGGGCCCGGGGGTAATCCCAACCACCGCAGCCCTGGGGTAGCCCCCCTCCCCCCACCTGTCTAACTCCGTAAATAAGGCAGCTACGTAAACAAAAATGGTACCAAATGAAAGATATCTACGAGAAGATTCTTGAAGCCCCTAAACCTTTTGACCTCAGGTAAATTTTAAGGCCAGAAGTCAATGTCAAAGGCAAAAACCGGCACTTTTGTATAGTGGTCTCAAAGTACGTGTTCCAGACAGGGTTGTGCTTGACTCATGAGTCGAGTCAGAAATTTGACTCAACTCTGACTCAAATGAGTCAGATTTGAGTCGAGTCGGATAAAATGTTGAGCTGTTGAGTTGAGTCAGAGTTGAGTCGGACAAAAATATTAAGGCGTTGAGTTCAGTCAGAGTTGAGTCAGTAAAATAACTTTTGACATTGAGATGAGTCAAACATGTAGGATCATGATTCAGCTGACTCAACTTTCCAGAAACTATAGGTACATATAAGCTTTTCATTCCCCCCCCCCCGCTTAACAACTTAGCCCTGGCTCTGCTGCCGGATTTTTTTCACCCCCCCCCCCCCCGCTCAACAACTTTATTATCTGAGTCAATTTTGAGTCAAGTAACTTGTCAACAAAAAATTTGAGTCAAGTTTGAGTCGACTCATATTTTCATCGAGCCGCTTATTTTTGGCAGGTGGTTGAAGTTCACGTCTGTGGCGCCGAAGTTTGCCTAGAGAAATCGGCCCTGAGACGTTATCAAGGAGACTATGTCCAATTTTTTTGCTTCAAAAAATGTTAAATTAATGGGTGATAGGGTGATAAGGTACATCAAATTTTGGCTTTCTATCCCTAAGCGTTCGTGAGGTATCTCAAATATTCGCCAGGGGGAGGCGAAAAACGCCCCCCCCCCCCCTCTCTTCCGCGCGGGCCCGCGAGGGTTAATGGTTCAGCTCAATACGTATGCATGAAACCTGAAACCATAATAGTTTTGAATAGCAACAGCTAGGGGCAAGGTGCTCATGGATTTTGCAGATCGGCGTATCAGACAACAGTCGGGTCACCTCAATCTTGCCCCCACTGGCGTAAATTCGTGGCGCCGCCACTGGCCTTAGAACCTACCCACACCAAAGCTACGGAGATCTTTCAAATTCGTGCACATCTAAATGCCCAAAACACACATTTTCTTGCAACTTATTTTTTTAGAATGACATTAAAAAAGCATAAAATCGGCTCTCACCTCCAGACGCGTCCACCCAGCCACACGACAGAACAGGGAAAGATGAAGCCCGGAAAACCTCGTCGGCTGGTCGTGTCATGAGCGCCATCTATTGGATAGGTTTGGCACAATTCGCCCTGATACAACTTGGACATGATACAACTCTCCCCGCTCTCCCCTACCCGATGACCTAGGACCTTAAAATTGGATATCATCGGCTTCCTCTCGCGACGAGCAACACGCTCGTTTTTTTTTTCGCGAACTCTAGCTCGATCAGGGGCCAAACGCGAGGGGGAGGGGGTCGTGCCGTCGACCCCTCCCCCTTCTGCGGTCGAAGGACGCAAAATGGCCTGTGCCGGCCATTTTGCGTCCGAGAATCCGAAAAAAATCCGAGATAGGATGCAAGTTGTGAAACTTCTAATGGATAGGTACTAGGTCCCGCAAGTTTCATTTCCCTGTGAAAGCTCCTCTGGCACTTGGCAGTGAGGGCGTTGCGAAGTTGCGACATCTGAAGACCGTGCACAGGTTCCTTATGACGTCATAGGTCAGTGACCTGACCTAACCGGTTGGTGTCAAAAGATCTGGCTTGAATAAAAGGTCAGCTATGTCAAGTTTAAACCCTCTATCGCTGGCATGTTCATTGCTATCGCGAAAAAAAAACTATGCCCCCCCTCCCCCTCGGCCTCGGGCAGAGCATGGCAGAGGATGCTTCGGACAGTCTGGAGCCCTCTAGTTATGCCACAGTTTCAGTCAGTTACAATGTGTTTTCATTGTAACCAATGTCGAGACGTGGATTACATTTTGATAACCACTTCCGGTTGAATAAAGAGAAAATGAAAAGGTAGAACTGACTCAAAATAAGTCGGATTAGTGTTCCTGTGGTGTTCCTTGCTTCCTAGTGACGAATACCAATCCGTAGCTGACGCCTATTTCGCGGACATGCCTGTTTTAGTGGGGCACGGTAACGAAGAAAAATGAAGGTGAATTCTCATCCTCTGATTGGTCGATCACTTGTTTTCCAAATATTCAAATCGAAAGCACGCGTGTGGGCGCGTTGGATACGATTGTGGTGTACTGGATGTAAGTATAAGGTAGATGTAATTTTATGTGGAAAACAACACAAATATTAGCCACAGCTGAAAGTGCATTTATTTTTTTCAGACAGCATATCAATCAGCAGCTATGGGACGTGGTCATGCTGGATGTTCTATTGCAATTGTTTTTCTGAATTGATCTATGTGTGCTATGATGAATTTGTTTGCATTTTATTTAATTATTTTGATTTATTTCAATAAATGATTTAAATGCTTATTGCTGACATTTGTTCTAATGTTTTTGGGATGAGTCACCCATGTGTCTAGAGCCACAGCTATCTGGGTTTGTGAAGAGACAGAGTTGAGACTTGTGACCAGAGGTCAAGGTCAGTTTCAGTTTTACCAACAGAAAAATAGGTGCCTGCCGGACTTTTTTTTTGCTAAAGACTGCATCACGTATGGAGCGTGTAAGCGATGGGCGATGGGCATGTAATTGGATAGGGCTTTACCATATAGTGTAGGTATACACTCCATATGTGAAGCGGTCTAGCAAAAAAATACCGGCAGGCTGCTATTTTTCTGTTGGTATTTTTCTGTGGCCTCAGAAAGTTGAGTTGGCTGGTGGCATAGGTTCCTTGCAGCAATGCATGGTTTGCATTCTAACCTTCTGAGTTCTGACCTAGTGACATGACCTTGGGGCTTGGGCTGGCTGCCTTGGTCTGAAATTTTAATATGCAGAAAAGATACATGAAGCCCAGTCTTCTAAAATTGTATTCTAGGTTTGATGTCAGAGGGGAAAATTATTCATTTTAAGGGATTGATAGGTAGCAAAAATTCAACAAATGTAAATGTAGTGTTTAATGTATGCACAAATATAATGTTTGAGACGATAATTGCAGATTGAGATGCTCTTTCTTGATAGAGCTGGGAGTTTAAAATTGCTCTTGGAAATTTGAAGTGGGAGTGGAAAATTGTTTTCATTTGGATGTCATTTCCCTCCCACCCAAATTGATGACGTTTGGGACAATAGCATGAACAGGTCTCAGTGTGCAAAAAGATGTGGCACTCCATGGCACTATTTTTCAAGGAATACCACCATTCTCTTATCTGCAAACAAAGTACAAATATAAGGAAGTCCATTGTCTAACTACCCCCTCCCTGCACAGGTTAATGTAAGTGGTTGCAGACTAGTTAAATATTTCATCTGTGTTTGTGCTTTATCTGGGGATTCTCAAGAGAATTGTGGCTTTTGATCAATGCACCGTGAGGCGTGAGGTGAGGTGCGTGAGGTGCTCTTTTAACACTTTGTTGGTTTTGGTGTGATATCTGCCATAAACTCAGTTCATATCCTTTGTTCATTGCTAACAGTAAATGGTTTATACGAGATCAGGCCTAAAGTGACAAATTCATTTTTTATTTTGGTTTCCTTTATTTTGGTTCTGATTCACGAGTATTTATATGGGAATGCAAGGCTGGCAGTGTACCACTCCAAATGCATTTGCTATGAGGTCAACAGTATGATGCGAACTGAAATCACAAGGAAACTGAAGGGATTTGATGCTAGCCCAGCTTGAGCTTTAAATTCGTTTGTGACTTTTGACCAGTGTCGTGACCTGCTGGCAGGCGCCATGGCGTTCGCGCACCCGGCGCCGGTCGACGTGTCCTACCTGCAGGCGCGCGAGTCGGGCTACCTGCTGGGCCGTGCGCGCGCCTCGTCAGTGGCCCTGCCGGGCCTGGCGCCGCCGCAGCGGGACATCACGGAGGAGTTGGTGGAGCAGCGCGGAGATGACCTGGTGGCCGGCGGCGGCGGCCTGCGCGTCTTCCTGCGCGTCCGGCCGCAGCTGGACGGCGACTTCGGTGACCTGCCACCGGAGGAGGTCAGTGCCTGCCGCCGACCGGTAGTCCCGGTGGAAATAGGTCCAGATGGTACTCGGAAGTTCGGCTTGGGATCAGGATATTCTAGCATGTCATCACTGGCTGCCACGTCGTTTGTTAAGCGATTTGATCACCAAATGTTTGAGTTAATAAATGTTTCCTTTGTATCTTGTGAATTATATGATGGGGTTGATCTGTCTGAATGTTGACCCCCGTGTTTTGTCATTTTCAGCGCAAACCGGTCCTGGAACGATCCAGCGACATCCACCTGTTGATGCACGCCCCGAAGGACTCGGCAACGTACAAAAATGGCGTCAACAACAACGGGAAGCTAACTCACAGGTAAGGCTCATGTAGATGTTGCATGTTTGAATTCGGTCGATCAGTTAGGTAAGATTGACTGCAAGACGTAGGTACGGGATCTGAAATATTTCATTGTAAATGTTAATATGCTTGGTGGCTTATCGGAAGACTTTGTTGGATAAGTATGATATGTTCGTATTCCAATATTTGGTTTGATGCGGAGTTTATGATGGAACTGCCGTACCGCCTAAAGGATTTGTGCCAGTCGCGTATTTTGTCGGTATTTGCTCCGTTTGGAATGTTCTGGTTGGCGGACGGACGGGTAGAATGACTCACGGCGTCCCATCTACCCCGCCAGGTACACGTTCTCGCACATATTCGGTCCGGACACGGATCAGCGTCGCCTGTTTCGGCAGACCACGCTCAAACATGTGTCCGAGTTTGTCAACGGCCGCAGCTGTCTACTCTTCACGTACGGCGCCACCAATTCGGGCAAAACGTACACCGTCCAAGGTGGGTCAGAGCACCGGCTCAAATCACAGTTCACAGCCAAATGGCGCCATGT